AAACATATAACTCAGTTTTCTAGGAATCAAATGTCACTGACCGGGCAATTTTGATGAAAGATCTAAACGACAAAGTTGGAATGGACAACATCGGATATCAAGATATCATGGAACCACATGGACTAGGAGAAGGGGATGAAAGTGTTGAGAGATTTGCAAATTCATGTGAGTCCAAAAACTCGGTTATAGGTGTCACTATATTCCACACAAACGCTCACACAAAACTAAAGTAGTTTCGTCGGATCACACTATGAAAAACAAGATCAATCATATTCGCATCAGCAAAATATTCAGCAGGTCAATGCAAGATGTGAAAACCAGCAGAGGAGCTGACATTACTTCAGATCACCACCACCAACTCGTCGTTGTAAAGATGAAACTGAGGCGAAAGAAACACTGGACAACTGGACAAACAGCATTACGAAGGTTCAATACAGACTTCCTTCAACACACTGACAAAATCAACCAATTCAACATAGCTCTCAACAACAGGTTGCAAGCACTACATGATCTACTCAAAGAAGAGAAAACTACGATGGAGGACAATTGGAAAGAGGTCGAAGATACACTAACTCCAACGTGTCAGGAGGTTCTGGGGCGCAACAAGCATCATCATCACCATCATCATGATCGTAGGGAATGGATCTACATCGAAACCGTGGACAAGATTCAAGAAACGAAGAACAATAGCGTAACAATTAACAACAGTCGAACGAGAACACAGAAAGTCAAGACACAAGCTGAATACACTGAAGCAAACAAGAGAGTGAGCATTAGAGCATTACAGCTGACAAACAGAAATACAAGGAACACTTGGCAGTGACAGAGGAAAATGATGCAAGAGAAGGGAATACCAAACAACTATATGACACGACGAAGAAAACTGGTAGGGAAATGTGGTAAACCAGAAAGAACGGTCGAAGACAAAGGAGGAAAGCCGAACCGGATGAAGGATTCAGTAAGTGCACAACTTCGAAATCAACAGGTTGGATTCCATAAGGATTAGTCATGCACATACCGAATCACCACAATACGCATCATCGTTGAACAATCAATGGAATAGAACTCGTCACTTCACAGATGATGACCTGGCAATTCCACCCCATACACACGATCAAATTCAGATGAAGACAAACAGTGCAGCAGAATCCTCTACATCATTACGTCTCAACATACACAAGGAAAAAGCAACATCCTCAAATACAACATGGAGAACACCAATCCAATCACACTTGATGGAGAAACTCTGGGAGATGTGGAAATTCCACGTACCTGATCAGCATCATCGATGAACAATGAGGATCCAATGCAGACGTAAAGGCAAGGATTGGCGAAACAAGGACCGCGTTCCTACAACTGACGAACATCTACAGCTCAAAACCATTATCAATCAACATCAAAGTCACAATCTTCAAGACAATTCAACTGTTCGAAGCTGAAACTTGGAAAGCTACCACAATCATCATCATCATCAAGAATGTACAAGTAGTCATGAAAAATTGTCTACGCAAAATACCGAATGTCCGTTGTCCGGATACCATCAGCAATTGCCTACTGTGGGAGAGGGCAAATCGGATTCCAGCTGCGGAGGACATTAGAAAAAGACGTTAGTAGTGGGTAGGACATACATTAAGGAAATCATCAGGCTGCATCGTGAGACAAGCGCTAACTTGGAATCGTGAATTGAAACAGACATGAAAAGGATGAATATCAACTGGAAACAACTGTAAATGTTTGGTCAGTACAGAGTTGAATGGAGAGTGCCGGTGGGCATTCTGTGCTCCTCTACGAGGGATAACGGGAGTTAGTATGAGACTCTAAACAAACAGGATCATTTTTATGTAGGACACACCATTAATACCATTTTCTCCAGCGTCCATTCGAATACATTTGTCACGAGGAGTGATACGGGTTTATTATTTATCAGTATTTTTGTGAGGAAAGGAAAGCTTCTGACTGTTACGTGTATGTAAGTGTTTCGTTGTTGGTAGGTCATGATGGAATATAGTGTATTAATAATCAATAACGATTTGGTAAGCAACTTACATTCACCTCAAATCCTTAGCATTACCTATGTAATACCACCCTTGCAGACCTTGAGGCAATGGACAACCGTTTCTTTCCATTATGCGACTCAGCAGTGCGCATCTATGATACTAGGGCTCGGACCGAGGACTTTCGGTCTCTCACGTGAACTCTTAGCCTCTAGACCACTGAGTCGGTATCCTTCGGTTCTAATGTTAACCGTGTCGAGTATGAGGCTGTTACCCACTGAAGACAATCGAAAATGGTCGCAGAATAATATGGATTGTTTGAAAGACTAATCTTTGAAGTAAAACTTTATTCTACATTAAAAATTCTTTTATCCATCTGTACTAGCCATAGGATTCACTGGTGTCGATATTAAACATAAACCAACTTTCAGGTTTCCCACATTCATATAGTTAATTTCATCAATAAAATATGCAGTTTTTTACTTCATCATTTACAGATAAGTGAGGGTTATCCAAAAGAACTTTATTTAATATTGCTATTTTATTGTGACTGTTTCATAAACAAAGATATCTTGTGAATATGATATGTTTTAACGAATTACTACTCCTCCCGAATGGGCTCGAAGTTCAACAAGGCACAATGAAGAAGTTAAATTTGAAAAAGGATCAGTGGTATGGTATGGCCATTAAGATTCAACACATAATAAAATACTTAGTTGTACAGAAACTGGATCGATAAGATCCCACACATCTATTTCATATCAACTTCACAAACAAGTACCAGACAGGTGTCTCATTACACGTGTTTGCTTAATTAACGCATAATTAATAAATTATCTTTAAGTCCTGATATCTTGTAGACCCATTATTTTTGGTAATGGTTGCGTTTGATGAAGTTAGGTAGATCGGTAACAGTCAACTATAAACAAAATATTAGAAATTTTAATATAAATATAACGACTAATTCTAGTTTATTCACAGACATTTCGATACATAGGAATAGTAACTTTATTTAAACAAAAGTGAGCCAAAAATTTGTACTTTTAAACAGTATTTGTTCAGTTATTTTTCTAAATTAACCTTTTTTTCAATGAACTACTAGTTACACAATCGTTTATGTTATTTCATTTTAAGTTGATTTTGTGTACAATTTAAAAATTATTCGTGTGAAAATTTACCTGCTATTGAAAAAAATAGGCTATATTTCGATCTTTTGGAAAAAAATGTGCTATACGGGACAAATTCAAATGTAACTGGAACTGACAGTAAACGTGTGCTTTTAAGTATGAAAAAAAACAAGGTTGAAATGGTGCTTGTACATGTATGGCTATAACACTGTTAGACTAGATAAGTGAATCAACGAACTTAATTACAAGGAAAGTAGACTTGTTTATAGTAGCCTGAATTGTTGGATTTTAATGCAATATATCAGTGTTACAACTGATGTTGTAGGTGTTCTATTCTGTTTTGAGATTCATCAATCGGATGAACTGGACCTCTGTGATTTTTTAAATTTAAAACTAAACATTATCACCTAGTACTTAGGAAGCTGAAGAAATGTCTGTCAAGTCATAGAGCAACTTATAACAGTTGCTACTCGTTCAACAAATACTGTCATAAGATTTTACGCTTTCATACTGATGATCTTTATAGAGCTGATATGACCTATATTCGTCTTATTTTGGTTTTCTATAAAGATTTCGATATTATGTGGTTAGATTTTAATCAAAGTTACTTCCTCTTTGCTTATTTCCTAGTGTTCACATTGTTTTGACGATGTAATTTTTGTCACATCCGTACTGCCTCAAAGTTAGTAACGTGGATATTTGGTGATCCGTATTCAAATATACATTTTGAAATGCTTCATACATCCTATTGTTGTATTGTGTCCTCATATACAACCATTTTTCTTTTATTCCTTACCAGTTTTCTACCACAAGCTTTAATCTCCTTCCTTACTTGACGATATCTATAACTAGCTAATCACTCCCCCGGAAACTAATGAAATCCAGGGACACAACATAAGAATTTTTTAAAAATTAAACCAATTGTAGAGAAATACTTGAGGGAACAAACTTCTTAAGCAAAAGAAGTGTAAGTTAGCATAGTCTCCAAATGATGCGTAAATCTGAGCAAGTGAGAGGTTACTAACTTGGTTGAAAATATTGACATAAAATAACAGAAAGTAGCAAAAACTGGGACAACAGTCTAGATAAGTTTTCCCGTATGGACTATTCTATACGAAAAACTTGAAGGAAGTGTTGAATTTGTCAAAAGTTGGTGGTGCGAAATCCCTAGATTTTTGTTCTGTGAAATCTTGTCACGGTTTCCTCTATAAGGCTTAAATTACATTGTTATCTGTCCGATGACGGTAGTAGAATTGAGTATGAGCATAGAAGCTTTCTTTGGTGCTAATGATAACCTCGATAATGGACGACCACTGTTTACAGCTAATCTTTCAACAGTATAAAACAAATTCTTATTTACTCCCACTCATTTATGTGGTAAAATATTAGAAAGGTAAGTAGATTACGAAGTGGTTCTTTAGATTTCCTGGAAAGGGACAAATATCCCAATCTCCATATTTTAGGGAGATGGCACAAAACCCTCAAAATTTCCCCAAACTTTGGGGAAAACTACCAAATTTCTTACGACTTGGGGAAAACCCCCAAAATTTAGCCGAAATAGGGACCAGACTAAATTTAACAAGTGATTTCAACCCAGTTAAAATATCTTATTTTGTAGCTGTCAGAAACTGGTTAGTTTGGAAAGTAACATATACCATCCATGGTTGTAACTTTCCTATGATGAGTATGGGATTTACGCCGATAACCACTAAATTGGTATTGTTCTAATTAGTGGCCACCGAACGTGTTGGACTACATGTTAGTAGATAGACACAACTAGAGTGACTTGACCTCAAATATATTTTTTAATACAATAGTAAATACCATAGACATACAAAAAGTGACATGTATGATTGCGGTGAACAAAACAGCCGAAAATATGATTGGTGCATATGTTTTTGACCTTTCACGTCTCAAGGTCAACCTATCTGCTTTGTTTCATATCTCTACCTCCAAACAATTCACTGGGGTGTTTCTTGATTTCTGCAGATGTACGGTAACGCTACCGGCTAAGGTTAGTTGGATATAACTGTGAATTCCGAATATATTAATCTTTTTCCTTGTGCAAATTTGCAAATACAGAATACTTAAACAATTGCACTTTGGTTACAAATGATTTCAGCGAATAGTTGAACTGCTATGAAAATGCCCAATCACAGCACACTTTATTTTTTGGTACTTTTTGTTTGATATTTGGCATTTGGATCAACAATCAGGGAACCAGATCATAATCCTAGATGAATTCTTTTTATTAGTTAGTTGTCAAAAATATATTAGTTTTCGTTGCATTTCCTATTCGTTAGAGTGGTCTGTTTATTTTAATTCCTTCATTGATATCACCCTAGGAACAATATTCTATGACTTTCGAAGATCAATCCACCAGATGGTATTCCTATTTGTCATTTCTAGTCTTAGCCATGTTGGTAGATGCAGACTACTTGGTTGGGGTCCGCGTGACTTTCGTAACCAATGGTTGGAGACTCTTGGTGACATGGCCCAGAATCGATCACAATGGCGTCGGTGTATACACTCCCTGTTTTCCCTTAAACTAAGAGATTAAAATCACTTCATACCTTTCTTTCTACGAACTAATTCTTCCTTCCTATACTATATCCTTATTGCAACCTTTGACCTAACCACTCCTATGAATCCGGTGTTCATCTTGTTGTGCTAATGAGGTATGGCAACCTGGACCGATGCACATATGTGCCTGGTCCTACGTTGTAGCTGACTGACTGACTGACTATTTGTCATTTAGTCGTTTTCAACGTACAACGTGGATTCGATGTGCGTTGGCCCAAGTTGTTTAAGCAAAATGCCCCCGAATGTCTTGGTACGGCCGAGGGTGGGTAGAGTTCACTCTCGAAATGCTCTCATATGACCACATCTACATAGCCACTGCCAGGGAAGTTCTCCTCGCGGTGGGGGTGTTGTTTACGAAATCGCAAGGACGAAAAGCAAATAACCGACGCTTTAACCGGGTTGGTAGACACGGGGAGTTCATCTAGAAGAGTTAGAAAACCCTGATTCTAAACTAATAGTGCACATGGGCTACAGGATCTTAAGGGAACAGATGGTGTATGGACGTACTGTTGGCCACCGGCTACCATGAGACTGCATCTACTAAAGTTGCTCCACTGCCTTGTGAATTAGACCTGTAGGTTAAAGGCTCGGGGTGTGATCCCTAAGGAATCCACCTCCTTCAGTTTAGGCGTCCGGGCAGTATCACAGCCCCCACGCATATCAATGATAACTGTTACTGACCTTATTGTTATTGTGTGGCGCATATGTATTCGGTGCCCCTTTGTACACCAATATTTGTGTGTTCAAACATATAAACATGGCACAATTGGAATATAGATAAGTGCCGAAAGTTCCTTAGAAATATGAGGATAGAATTCTTTTCAACTACCTTCGAATATTTCGGTAAAGAGCTTGTCAATACTTAGATGTGCATCTTCATCATCGGAAAAATTCACGTCTCTTTCGGAACTTGAACTTATATTATCACAGATAATTCATTTAAATACCACATGTTACGATATACATGGGTTGGTTGCATAATGATGAACAGTGGAGAGTTGTAACTCAGGTGGGTGATTTCCATGAGTTTTGTTCTCTGAGCTGGATGGTTTGGTCGTGGTCACGACCAATAGTTTATCCCCTGGTTCTCGTTATGAGATAAAGTCTACTAATAAAAAATTTCACTATGGTTGCTAAGTTTGATAGTGTAATATACCAATGGATTGTGTTAATAATTCAAGAAAAACTTAAAATTAGTTCACTTGATCCTTTTCAACTTCCACGACCATTGATTCCTAAAAAACGTATAGTTTAGAACTAATTAGTACCTGGATGTTCGGATTTCGTTTCTGGCACACTACAAGCAAACCGTTGCTTCAGGACTGGTTTTTGTCAATGATTAATGTGACCATAGGAAATGAAGTAGTTCAGTACAGTCACTATTTAACTTGTACGTTTTATCAACTCCAATGAGTTAGTTGCTAGCATGGCTTTACAACGGTGCAGGAATCCCGCTACCTGTAACACAGGTGTGGTCTGTTCGACATTCATATGATGCCGTAGTACTACCCGTATCTTTCTACAGCATTGAAACTGCCTATAAAAGTAGAAGATATACTTCAGTTATAATTAGCTAATCACAGATACCTTTAGTGTGTTGTCCATGTATGGTGAGACCAAGTGTATAATTCTTCATCTACTGAGATTGTTGGGCTACGTATTGCGCATGGCTGAACGCCGGTTACCACGACGCACGATGCTGACTAGTGTTAGAGATGGACGTAAGAAAGTTAGGGGCGGCCAAACGAAAACGTGGCATCAGTCCTTGAAGTCACTAACTTCTGGGTTGAGTCATGTTGGCAGATTCAGACTACTTGGTTGGGGTCCGCACGACTATCGTAACCAATGGTTGAAGACTCTGGATGACATGTCTCAGAATCGACCACAATGGTGTAGGTGTATACACTCTGTCTTCTCTTAAACTGTGAAATTTATGTCGTTTCATATCTTTCTTTCCACGGACTAATTCTTTCTTCCTGTACTATGTCGTTATATACAATCTTTTATATATTACCACCACTGAATTAACTACTTCCATGAATCCGTTGTTCATCTTGTTGTGCTAATGAGGTATGGCAACTTTGACCGATGCATATATGTGCCTGGTTCTACGTTGTAGCTGATTGACATCCACTGTCCTGCACGAGGGACTGGAACCTACGACACCCGGCCTGGTGAGCGAACGCTTAACCTCCAGACCACTGAGCAGGTGTTCAACGGTGTCTAACTTCAGTCAATTCACAGCATTGAGCGACCATCTATTGTTTTTAATGGGTATCTGCTTACCAACCGACATGATAGTCCAATGTTGTTGATTGATTGAGGTTAGAAATTAACATCGTTGATACTGATTCAGTGGTCTAGAGGTTAAGTGTTCGCCGTTAGACCGAAGATCATGTGTTCGCGTTCAGGTTGCTGGATGTGCACTTCTTAGGAGTCCCATATTAAGACGAAACGGCCGTCCAGTGTTTCCAGATTTTCAATGGTGGTCTAACTTAGATTGGTCCGTGATTTCACTGAAAATTATTTCATTTGTAGTAGTTGGTAATTTTCAAATCTATTCATTCAAAGTGTGCATGACGTTGTAGCTATTAAATAGTCTGAAATATTCTACATACCACTGAGATCAAGCGATTTTATTCTTAATCTCTAGAGAAAAGTGATTTTAATTCCTGATGGGCTGAAGAAATACTCACGTTTTTGTCTAGGTTGACAAATGTAGGAACTGTCCCTCTAAAGCTCTTTTACAATTATATGGTAATTTCTTATCAAGTGCGAATTCACCAATACTTATCTTAGTACAATTTGTGTAGAAGAATGATAAAATAGGTTTTGCCGTTTTCCTGGAGATTATGATTTTCCTACAACTACTATAGTTATTAAACAATATCAAAACTCATTATGCTAAGGGGAAACCAAGTTAAATCTTTGGCGTGTTTATTTATTATTCTGCTGAGAACGCTATTATTATCATCACTATTATTATTATTATTATTATTATCATTAGTAGTAGTTGTTGTAGTTGTAGTTGTAGTATTGGTAGTTGTAGTAGTATTAGTATCGCTTTACTACTCAGTAATTTGCTTCAACAATTTCATCTTATGGGTTCTAACAAATTAAACTGATGCACATACGTACTGCGTTACACGTTGTTAGCGCGAACAAGAATATAATCTGAGTCCAGATAAGCACTCCAGAAGAAGTGGTACTCTTCTATACGACGAGGTGGACGGTAGCTGATCTCTGTGATAAATCTTCGTTCAGGCTTAGGGTGCCGAGAGAGAGAGAATACCAGGAAACATATCGAGGATGGTTGTGCTGAAAGTTGGTTCTAGCTAGAAACAGGTGGTTTGTGCAAAGCTACAGGAGACACCATGACCTGCAATCAACGAGTTCTCATTGTCCACCTAGATGGCTCTCCTCTGTGCCTAGATGCCCTACCTACTCATTCAGATATCAAACCAGTATTACAATATCCGTCGAACACGATTCTCTGAGACCGTCTAACAGTTGGCACAATCCATCCTTGATTTTATCCGGTCTGCAGTCTGTCGTGGCGTAGGCGGAAATGACAAAAAGATATCATTTTTCACATTGATTTCTCATTTTGATGTAGCTCTCTAATCTAACAACACGATCGGTTGTTAATATGTTTCCAGTCGATAAGTACTGCCTCATATTTGGAGTTTAATGGTACACCAACCCTCGCAAAACAGGAAGATGGCTCCAAATCTGATAAACGCATGTGAAACAAGGTTTTCGAAGTGACAGATGGAAATTAAATGTTCACTTCATTATGAACTTGAATACTGGTCTTGGATAAACAACAGACATCGATGTTCAGGCTTTCTAAAGGCAGCCAAATTTATATGTTATACGGTATGCATTAGTGTGGGGACGTTGGAGGAGACCAATTTTATATGGGACTCGTGGTTTCAGGAAAGCTGGTTCAAGATACGTATTTCATGATAGCATTTAACTTCCTACCATTCAAAGCCCTGAAAACATTTATATAGGATAGAATTTTCATCATCAACGAGCTTCTATGTGAGTTGATAAAATGCTCAAAAGTAGAAAAGGAATAGACGACTTACTCAATGTAAAGTGAAAAACAATGTTACTAAATAATTATGAATGTCGTTTGCACAAAAGTGAGTTGGAGCAAGGGTCTTTTCTCCAGTCGTAATCATTACGTTTATGTGTGGCCGAGATGCTCTCGAGTGCCCGGTTTTCTTAGAGGACTTCTTCCCAAGCCTTTGTCCTCGTGGTCTAGTTTACAGGGTAATGGAGCAACGTTAGGAGACGCGATCCTATGGTACCCAAGCTATTGGCTTCCGTCATACTTCGTAGGTTGTTCAAAACCCGAGAAAGATTGACTCGCGAGAAGCAGGCTGGGTTTCGTTCTGGTCGAGGATGTATTGATCATACCTTCACCCTCCGCCAAATGTTAGAACATCGCCATACTTATCAAAGGCCAACAATCGTAGTGTTTCTTGACATCAGGGCTGCCTTCGATTCGTTGGATAGGACTGTTCTCTGGGATTGTCTATTGAAGAAGGGTGTGCCTGAGAAGTTTATTAACATCCTAAAAGCCCTAAATACAAACACCTCAGGCAGAGTGAGGGCATACAACCACCTTTCTCCATTGTTCCATTCGAGCAGTGGGGTTAGGCAGGGTTGCCCAATCTCACCATTCCTCTTCAACTTTGCCATCGATGACATTCTGGAAACAGCTCTGATGGATGTAAGTAATGGTGGTGTGGATCTGTTGCCTGGAGAAAGACTTCTCGACCTTGAGTATGCGGATGATATTGTCTTACTGTGCGATAATGCCCAAGGCATGCAATCCGCACTTAATCAGTTGGCAATCAGTGTCCGTAGGTATGGTATGTGCTTTGCACCTTCGAAGTGCAAAGTACTTCTACAAGACTGGCAGGATTCCAATCCTGTACTCACCCTGGATGGTGAGCAGATAGACGTAGTCGAGAAGTTCGTGTATCTGGGTAGCTGCATAAGTGCTGGTGGGGGTGTGAGTGATGAGATCAATGCACGTATAGTGAAAGCCAGAGCGGCTTATGCCAATCTGGGCCATCTTTGGCGCCTTCGTGATGTTAGTCTGGCTGTAAAAGGTCGGATCTACAACGCGTCGGTGAGAGCAGTTTTGCTCTATGCTTGTGAAACCTGGCCTCTCCGAGTTGAGGACGTTAGACGACTCTCTGTGTTCGATCATCGTTGTCTCCGAAGGATTGCTGACATCCAGTGGCAATACCATGTTAGTAATGCAGAGGTTCGGCATCGTGTGTTCGGGCACAGAGACGATAATGCAATTGGTGTCACCATCTTGAAACACCGACTTCGGTGGCTTGGACATGTTCTCCGAATGTCGTCCCAGAGAATTCCACGTCGTGCATTATTTGCCGACTCTGGGACTGGTTGGAAGAAGCGGAGAGGTGGTCAGTGCATGACATGGTGTCGTGGTATGAAAGAAAGCTGCAAAGGACTGGCTTGTGTTGGTCCTTCACGACTCCCTGGTTGGGGTCTGAGAGATGGTGCTACACAGTGGCTAGAGACGTTATCAGATATGGCTCAGAATAGAAGCCAGTGGCGATCCTGCTGTAACCTTCTTTTACTTTCTTCATAAAAAGTGATTGTGTCTCCCTTACCTGAAAGATTTCTTCTGATTGTACCTTTCCGTTCCCCCATTATTACCACTATTATTATTACACTACCTTACACCAATCTCTTCATTATTGTTTGTTTTTACCCTCCTTACCTTTTTTCTTTTTCCTTCTCTTTAAATTCTCATTGTTTTGTGTGGCGCTCTCTTGTACCAATATGTATGTGTTCAAATAATAAATAAAACTCGGTGACTAAAATAGACTAAACGCTACTCGGCCCGTCACGATTCTGAAACCCATGTGTAGCATCGGTTTGGTATATAGGTTTTTCCAACTCCCCTAGGTGAATTCTCCGTGCCCTGTAATCCAGTTTAAGAGCCAGGCATTTGCCTTTCATCCTACCACTTCCACGATAAGATAGTAAGTAGGACTCTCCTAGCAGTGGCCATATGAAAGCGTTTCGAGGGGTAGATCGGAAATATTTCCACCTTTTCCCTACTCGGGCATTTTACCTAACATGACAGTTCAAACATTTGTGTCCGTTACTAACTTTAAAGCAAACACAGAATGGGTATTTGTGATGACGACACTATTTGAACTTAGTTCACTATGGTGTAGTTTATTTACCAACCATATGCTTGTGTACTCGGCTTTGTATGTAAGGGTTGATGCTACTACCCGGTTGCCAAAACTGAAGTAGATGTTACGGAGTTTGAGCTTGCTACGTGGTGGTTGAGAACTACGTCCTTTCACTACCGAATACCCACTTCAATCTAACAGTTAACCTCATAAGAAGTCTTCACATAAAAGCAATGACATGTAGTCTTTTATAGGTGTTCACCATCAACTTTCTGGTTCAGCTTTGTTGTACATGTACTAATTAAGGTAATGAAATTGTACAACAATTGAGATAACTTGTTTTTATGTTACTTTCCCCATGTCACCATCTTCTTAAACACCCAGTACTGGCTGACAGAACACATGGTCTGATAGAACAGCTACTATTTATCTAAATTTTAGTTATTAATTTAGTTGTTTGAAAATAATCTAGTTTGGTTCTTATTAGCTCAGGTACTCAAATAACGACATGAGCTGCCGAAATTGCTAGCCAAAGCACATATTACCGGCATGATTTTAGTTTGCGTATTATGTACATGTTAATATTTACGTATGTTTCTAATTCGTTCATCATCATCACTGGAGATAGATGGGAGCCTGGCACTGTTATCTTACAGACGACTTTTCAATACCAGGTACCGAATTATCATCTAATCCTTAGATTCATCTGTATTTATTAATTATCGTAAAATTGAAAGTAGAACCTACAGGCTTCAAAACATATACCCCCATCATGTTATCATTGTTCGTTAACTAAATTCTCACATTTTTTCGTGAATTCTTCCAGTTTTTAAGTGCTGTCTGTACTCTGTTTTCCATCATTGAATCACATCTGAATCGTATCTCACTTATTTCGATATTCGGGCAATACTTCTCACGAAGCTTAATGCAAAAATGTGTACTTAATTTGGAAGGTTCATTTTTCAGACCAGAAATGTGTTGCGCTGCATAAGTTTATACTATAGTTTATCGCGTGTAAAAGTGACACAGTCATAATACTGTTATTTGTAATCATGTCTGTTATTACGTTGTTATGCAATTTTGTTCCTATGTATAGCTTCTTTATTTAGTCTGTATATCAGATGTAAACTATGAACGGTCAGAACCGGTGACTGATCTAGTAAATAATATATAACCAAATGAATATGACAGTTTGAACTTGTTAGCCTAGTAGGGAAGTTAGTTGTTCTGGTTATTTCAGTCAAACAGAGTAGCAGTCATATCTCTCATGGTCACAAAATTCTAAATTAGATTTTATTCAGTTAAGCGACTTACCAACTACTATAACAAGTTCAAACTACCGTTTATGTTCGATTATGAACCTTATGGTGGTTACTGAATCTCAAAGTTAACTTACGTTCACGCCGTTTGTGTTCTAGCAACACCCATCTGAACCGTATTCACAGATACAAAACAAAACAGATATCCCTTTTATTTTTAAACCTTCGCCATTTTCTTCATTTTAGGTAGTCAAGTACTGCCTTTAATCCACATACTGACGATATGGCTTAAAACTTACTGTATTGTTGTGTGTCTGTTCACTAGGTTGCTTAAATGCAGTAGTGTTTATTTTGCGTGACTTAGTTATCTAGACAGTTTATGGTCATTGGACCACAGTTTCACAACAAATTTTGGCCTGTCGACTGGAGTATTATTGTTAGTCTATTTGGTTAGATTTGTTTCCCTTTCACTTATATATAACATTTTCTAACTAATAATTTGTTCCGTTCCTTTAGATATCGAAATGGTCGCGTTGGAATTTATTTCTCAGTTAGATAAACTACACTTTGTTGATTCTGTCGGACTAGATGATTTCGCAGATCGATGCTCTTATATGTTATCATTTGTTATTCTGGTCATGTGCTTTACTATTGTTACACTGAAATCTTATGTCTTTGAACCGTTGTCATGCTATATTCCAACTACCTTCTCGGGTTCTAATTTGGGATCGTACATAAATGCATTTTGCTGGATTAATGGAACTACACCGATAAGTGTAGATACGGATCAGCTAGATAATCCAACGTATTGGAGTAGTTTAGAAGATAAAAAAATCAGTAAGTCTTTTTCTCTTTTGATTATATTTAGCGCCATAATATATTTTCGTTCGCATAGTTTTTAACCTAGATTTGTTTTGACATGATTTTCTAGATTAACAGAGCTTTGGAATAAAGTTTAGATTCAAATGGTTCAGGTATAAAAAGTAATCAAGAGTCTTACGCACTTCTGATTTTGAAAGTCTTTTCTAACTCCTATATAGGTTAACTTCACAATTCATGTAATAGTATAGGATGTGAAAGTTTGCTACCAAAAGAATTTGAGTAAATCTTAGTATCTAATGATTGACGTATTATAGTGTTTGAGCAGGATGCTCATTCAATCTGCTCTAGTAGCTAAGCTGCTAATGAGATCGAATTACGATCAACTGACTCGTAGGTTTAAGCCTCAACCCACCCACTTCAGTTTGGGTAGCGTAGACAATTGTTCATGACTACTTGTACATTCTTGATGATGATGATGATGATGATGATTGTGGTAGCTTTCCAAGTTTCAGCTTCGAACAGTTGAATTGTCTTGAAGATTGTGACTTTGATGTTGATTGATAATGGTTTTGAGCTGTAGATGTTCGTCAGTTGTAGGAACGCGGTCCTTGTTTCGCCAATCCTTGCCTTTACGTCTGCATTGGATCCTCATTGTTCATCGATGATGCTGATCAGGTACGTGGAATTTCCACATCTCCCAGAGTTTCTCCATCAAGTGTGATTGGATTGGTGTTCTCCATGTTGTATTTGAGGATGTTGCTTTTTCCTTGTGTATGTTGAGACGTAATGATGTAGAGGATTCTGCTGCACTGTTTGTCTTCATCTGAATTTGATCGTGTGTATGGGGTGGAATTGCCAGGTCATCATCTGTGAAGTGACGAGTTCTATTCCATTGATTGTTCAACGATGATGCGTATTGTGGTGATTCGGTATGTGCATGACTAATCCTTATGGAATCCAACCTGTTGATTTCGAAGTTGTGCACTTACTGAATCCTTCATCCGGTTCGGCTTTCCTCCTTTGTCTTCGACCGTTCTTTCTGGTTTACCACATTTCCCTACCAGTTTCTTCGTCGTGTCATATAGTTGTTTGGTATTCCCTTCTCTTGCATCATTTTCCTCTGTCACTGCCAAGTGTTCCTTGTATTTCTGTTTGTCAGCTGTAATGCTCTAATGCTCACTCTCTTGTTTGCTTCAGTGTATTCAGCTTGTGTCTTGACTTTCTGTGTTCTCGTTCGACTGTTGTTAATTGTTACGCTATTGTTCTTCGTTTCTTGAATCTTGTCCACGGTTTCGATGTAGATCCATTCCCTACGATCATGATGATGGTGATGATGATGCTTGTTGCGCCCCAGAACCTCCTGACACGTTGGAGTTAGTGTATCTTCGACCTCTTTCCAATTGTCCTCCATCGTAGTTTTCTCTTCTTTGAGTAGATCATGTAGTGCTTGCAACCTGTTGTTGAGAGCTATGTTGAATTGGTTGATTTTGTCAGTGTGTTGAAGGAAGTCTGTATTGAACCTTCGTAATGCTATTTGTCCAGTTGTCCAGTGTTTCTTTCGCCTCAGTTTCATCTTTACAACGACGAGTTGGTGGTGGTGATCTGAAGTAATGTCAGCTCCTCTGCTGGTTTTCACATCTTGCATTGACCTGCTGAATATTTTGCTGATGCGAATATGATTGATCTTGTTTTTCATAGTGTGATCCGACGAAACTACTTTAGTTTTGTGTGAGCGTTTGTGTGGAATATAGTGACACCTATAACCGAGTTTTTGAACTCACATGAATTTGCAAATCTCTCAACACTTTCATCCCCTTCTCCTAGTCCATGTGGTTCCATGATATCTTGATATCCGATGTTGTCCATTCTGACTTTGGTGTTTAGGTCTTTCATCATGATGATGAAATCATTTTTTCCGCAGTTCGATAGATTGATTGCAGCCTCTCATCGAAGTGATCTTTATTGTAGTCTTTGTTATGATTGGTGGGTGCATAACACTGGATAACGCTCATTGAGATTCCCTCCTTCTTTGTTTTGACGGATCTTTAAATGATCCTAAACTCCATTATATTCCCACCCAATAGTTTCATTTCGTAGATTTTTGAACAGCATCACAACAACTCCGTGTGTAAAGCATTTTGCTCTTCGTGACCGGAGTACAACATCATTTCTCCCATATCTGGCCCTTGCTGTCCAACATGGATCAAATAGGTTTCACTGTCAATGAGTACCTCTCGGTTGTATCTCCTCATTTCTGTATCTACTTGACTTTTCGTTCCGGTCTTCCACATTGTGCGGACATTCTATATACTTATAATAATTGTTGCTGTGGTTGTCAGAAGGGGAGTAGGCGTCGTGATTCATCGTTTCATCATGAGGTGTCATAACTTTTCTGTACATAGAACTCCCTTGACAGAGTTTAAATGGTTTGTTTATTTATTGTTTTTTGTTAGTGTGTTTTTAGCAAGTTTTTTTCTGTGATGTGGTTGCTGAACTCATGCCAAACCCTCCTTTACCTGGTCTTGGGACCGGCAGTATCACTAGCAGAGCTACAGGCGGTGCTACTTAGAATGCGGATCTCATTAATTAAACTTAGCTGCTTTGGTTACTCTTAATTATGTTTATTTAGATTTATATAGGGAATTGTCATAGGGCTTTAGATTTTGGTTTATGATTAAGCTCTATAGTGAGCAGTACATAAACAAAACTTATTTGATTGTACCTTGTACACTGTTCAACCTAGTTGCTGTCTACGAACCTGTAAGGATCTCGATACAGCTATTTCGAGTTTCACTTTGCACCTTTCTGGATAGCTTACATGCGTGATGAGGATTGAAAATAATTCTAGCACATCACCTACACGTCTGACTTTCTAAAATAATTTCGTGTGAAAACCTTAATGGATAGAAAGGAGACTGACGTTTTGTAGTCGTCATGAGAATTTTACGATGCAATAGGGTTAGGAATCTGAGTTTTCCTTATTGATTAGGCTTTTGTTAAGATGGTCGAGCAACGGTAGGGGATGTTTGCCTAACTTTCTACGTCTCTGAATTGCCATATTCATTGAAACTGCCCAAAACGAACTATATTTGACTCACGATATCTTGAACCGGTCCATTAGAAAGTCACGGTTTATTTTCCTCAAATCATTTTTCGTGGCAATATTTCAGTACTTATTGAAAGACCAGTTGAGGTAAGATCGTTAAAGATTATTTCTTCAGGTTATTATCTCTGATTATCCCGCTATATATGCTGTATTGTCTTCACTGTTCCTGTGATCCAATAGTTGACATTTTCTGGAGAGTAGTGCCGGGTCAGTGATCCGATTGACTCAGAAGTTGTTTATATCTTCTGTAACTTGTCAAAGTGACTAATTAAAACCTCAAATTATTTTGAGCACATTTTTAATTGGGTTTTATGTAACATAGTTTTAATGGTACATCATGGAAGATATACCTAATAGAATATTTGGAAAATGTGACTATTGTAAATCTCCATTGTGAATACAGTGTGTGATCAGTTTTGTCTGGTTGGTTCATTACAGTTTTATGAATACATTTGAGTTTATTTGTAGAACGTTGTTCTATCGGATCCGTCTAATTATCGGGTAACTATAGTGAGTTGACTTTTACTGGATTTTGTTTTGTTTTATGAAACGAAGTAGATTTTTGTCCTTCTACACAATCCTATTGAAAAAGACTGATCGTTGGATTTCATCATAATTATCCCTAATTTCAATTATCCTCTTTATTTTTTTCAGATTATTATCAATGGGTTTCACTGGTTTTGGCATTACAAGCTATTCTGTGCTACCTACCTCGCCTTATTTGGGAGGCAATTACTTTCAATCGTGTTGGAACAAATTTAGGATTCTTGCTTGAATCAGCACGAGAAGCTTCAAAGGAAACTGGAAAGGAAAGATCAAATCGTGTTCAATTTATAGCAAATGTTATGGATACATTGTTGTTTGCTCGTCGTGATCTACGTAAATTAGAAAATGGTCTTAAAGATCAAAATTTTTTGAACACAATTTTGCATACTATTCAAAATTTGCTTCCGCGTAAAAGGCTTGGTACTGCGTTAGTCACATACTACATGATAATCAAATCATTTTATTTGCTAAATGCAGTTGGACAACTCTTATTGATGGAACGATTTTTGGGTGTCCGTGGAGAATATCGCCTATTTGGCTTATCAATTTTAGGTGATTTGATTATGGGTAGACATTGGAATGAAACTAGTGTCTTTCCTCGAGTGGGTTTTGTCGTGTACCAATCAAATTAACGAGTACACCTATACCCATGGTCACTGTACAATGCACATTGCCAGTTAATATGCTGAACGAAAAGATTTATGTGTTTTTATGGTTTTGGTTTGTGTTTGTTGCTTCTCTGGAGGTTGCGAGTATTGGAGTTTGGATTTGTCGTTTGGCCGCACGGCAATCGAGATTGAGAAGTTTGATTCGATATTTAAAAGTTGCAGATGTTTATGAAGAATCAATGGATCCATTACTTGCTCGATTCGAATTGACATTTCTTCGAATGGATGGCAGTTTCCTTTTACAAATGATGCGTTTAAATGCTGGAAGTCTTATCACACAAGAAATCTTACAAGCAATGTTGAAGCGTTACACAGAACAAGAACAATATGCTCAGAAAAAACGCGTTGAACGACAACCTTCGGGACCAAAATCTGTAGAAATGGAAAAAGATGGTCTACTTCCTGACTCGCCCGATTGTACTGTAACAAAGCGTTTAGATGTTGTTTAGTTCAGTAAATAAATTTCCAGTATGAAGATTGAATGCATTGCAAAAATTCATCCCTACCTTTTGTATTACTTCTTTCTTTTCATTTTTCATTTACAGTCTCATCGATCTGATTAATATAATGGTTTTTCTGGTAATCTGCATTCAGTTTAATTTACGAAGCTCAGGGTCATTTCTAACTATTTTCCCCTATGTTTTTTTCATAATAAAAGCTTCAAGGTCATGATTTGTTTTGACTTTATTCTTTATACATTATCGAGCTGTAACGTACGTGTATATGATACCATTAAGCGGCGTTATGCTTTTGGTAACAAACTGGTCACCAATCACTGACCGAATAAAATATTGGTTTTCAAAGTGTATTTATCGTTGGTTATTAAGTTTTCATTTTTCCGCTAACATGCTTGTTGAGATATACAACCTGTCAATAATCCCAGTCGTATAAGGTTCGAAAGCTTTGACTAAGTTTTTAAAAATCGGTGGTCTATTTCTTGCGGAATGTAAGTATTTTTTGGGTTTATATTGGTTTCGTATTTACAGTGATTGATTTTTCATCTTATCAACATAACTTTTGAGGAAAGTCAGAACAAAAATTTGAGCGGGATAAAGTGGTTTCATTTTATCTCGTCAGTTCCTCGTCAGCTGCTTACAACATGAAATATTAAAAAATCAAGGTTATAAAGTGAGTTGAAAATATTGACATAAATGAGTTTGGTTGGAAATTTGTTATGATTACATAAAACATAGTAAATACGTAAATAAATTCAAGAGGCTGAATAAAAATGTCACAAATAATTGTCATCTGTAGGGGAACCTTTTTAAGCACCAATATTAACAGAAGATTAGATGGCTAGAAATAAGTAAAAACTAGTTCGGTTAAACATAAAATTATTGAACTAGAAGGGCGTCAAAATAATAGTGGAACAATGTAGCTAATTGAGAGTTGAAACAACTTTTATGGTGTACCGAGGCAGGGCTTATGCTACCATAGCAGAGAGTCTAACAATTATTCTTCTCGAACACTTGGTAGCGCTAACTTGAGAAGTCTAGGAATTGGTTATTCACCAGTTGCATTGAAGGATTTAAAAGTATCCACAAAACATTCTGTGTCCAATAGATTTGGAGATCACGTTATTCAAAGTACTCTATCTCAATTGAATGTTTTTAGGAACATGTTCAAAATATCTGAAATGCGATCCCTTTTTGTCCGATCAATGTAGCTACTTTCCCGATTACCTATATGCTTATAAACGCGTGGCCGTAAAATGAAGAGGATGATGTTGATCTTTGGTTGAATCACTTGATGTTATTTTTTGTTGAATTAGTTCGGCTACGGAGCGGATTCTGTTTAATTCAGTGTTAAGTATCTTAATAATTGTTCATGCAACATGATCCCCTGTAAAATTGAGATGAATAAGTTATTCAAGTCAATAAAAGACCTATCTTTGTTTGGGTCAAATGTCTCAGACGTACAGCTAACCAACGGCTTTGAAAAATGTCAGAGTTCCCATCAAGGTTAGTAGTGACTACAGAAATTTGTGAAATCCCCCAGAGATAAATGTTAGTCGAAAATAAACATTTAAAGCCAGAATGAGGCTCATGAAATAGTTGCGTCTATCCCTTTCTTTTAGAGAATTCTAGAAGTCAATTGGGTTACTGTTATAATGGGATGAGGAGGCGAAATCACATTTTTAACTTACTGTGATTCTTGCTCAACATTACTTCCGTTTTAAATTCTATGTGATGATTATTCAGAGTAATATTTGTTTCTGTTTTCCAGTGTGATACTTGGTATAATATTGATTTATTTGACCGTGATATTATTTCAAAATACAATATTCTTGTATAAAATTAATATGAACTATGTTCAGTATGATAGACAGCATGTGATTTTATAACCCTGGGTATTTGTTATATGTGATTTTATCGTAATTATTAGTCAAAATGGGTGTAATTTCGACTATGATCATCGTCGTGTTTTGTATTTAATAAATCTCCACTTTTACCAGTCTTGTTGTCCCTACTTCGCGTCGTGGGGATTTCAGTTATTCCTCGTTCTTTCAAGTATATGTAATAGACGATGCGTGTTCAACAGTTAGTGACACTACTTTTCTAGGGCTGAACTATGTAGATGAATGAAGTAACTACCATTATCCAATGCACGATCACACTGCGTGATATGTTGCTTCCTAAGTGTTCTATGTCCATGAAATATGCGTGTAAATGATACGATAGGTTGTTTTTGGATAGCTTGTAATTATGCTGCCCACGTCGAATGAATAATTGTACTTTCAACCTCTAAACTTACCATTGATATCATAGTTTCATGATTTTCAGTACAAAATGTATTATTTATGTAACCATGGTTTCCAACGCCTCTGATCAACTTATTGATAATAAATTCTAAACGAATTAATCAAAAAGTAGTCTAAAGTAATTTCAAATCGTTTTCGTAAAAGTTTTCTTTGGACGTTCATGTGATTAATTCAAAGGTGAGGTCGAGAAGACGTGAGTTCTTTATTCAGTAAAGTTGTAAATATTATTTGAACAGACGGTTGATAACAGTTAAGGGTAGGTGGGGATTCGACAGATAGGGACAGGTGGTTGAGTACCTGTTTTTATTTTTAACTTAGTAGAATGCATCTGATCAACGGTTTTTTTAAGTTCTTAGTACTATCGGATTTCAATTTACAGACATGGTGAACTTTCTAAATGAGCGTTAGTTTTGAGAGCTGCAACGCTCATTGAGTATTTGTTTTTCAGACTAATGCTCTAAGTGCATGATTAGTTGATTGGATGGAGAATGTTGGCTTGAATGACTGCACCATGATTTATATCAAACAAAAAAGTATTTATATTGAGGGGAAATTCAGACTCATATTTTAAATTAACAATCTTCTAATTATATATCTGATATAATAACCAGCTGTTAACTGAGTTTCAATTGCATTTTAATCATTGTGAAGTGTCATTTTCACTTGTATGAGTATTTGAGTTACATTATGTCACACTGCTAAATCTTCGTCGATTGAATCATTTTACAAAACTAGTTATGTAAATACAAACAGAACTGGTATTTTTCTTCCAACTACAATCTACACCCTTATATGAATAACAGATTTTGATAAACAGTCCAACTTCTAAACAAGGAACTACATTTACGTCTAGTCAATAGATAAGTAGGATAGAAATAATTAGTTTTTCTCAGTCTGTTACAGCGAGTCGATGTCAATTTTGACACGGTAAATAGTCAGTTATCAGTGCACGCTGAAAATTTTCCAGCTAGCCGTAACTCATTAACTTGGTTGATCAGTAATATGGTTTATCCTAGTGACTTAACTGTGAGGGGATTTTTCTAGTAGGTATGCTTATTAAACCAAGCCTCTCAGATCCCCACCTATGACTGAACTATATTTTCACTACTTCATGAAATTACGTAAGCGTAGATTATCGTGACTTGGATTGCCGTCAGATAGTTTTGTTTTTGACTACATTTTCACTCCCAGCCGCTCAATTTTGAGATAAAAACTAGAACTAAATGTACTCAGTTTTATTTCATCATGATGAAAATTCACTTTATTTGTGTATAAGCTCACGACCTAGTCTGTGTTTTGAACACTTCAGTTCCAGTCAGTCTTAGGTTTTGATTTGGCGGATTTGTGTACATTACTTATTTTTTCGTTTCTCATACTAAAGTATCAAAATGAACAAGTAGATAATGCAGTGATTACTAGTCTTTTGATATCTAAGTACCCGAAACCTGGTCGCATACTCAAAATCGATAAACATTTATTTGTTAACTGTCCCTATTCTTTTTCTGCAAAATCCCAATTTATGCCTGGGTCATTTCTCATTTTAGGTAATGAGTATGAGCATAAGTAAATGCTCTTAATCCCAAACATGAACCATTGTACAAAAGATTATTTTTAAAAAAATAATATTCTTAAAGTCTGTTTAGATTATTAACCGTTTTTTCTAAACATCCAACTCTGTTCGGTAGAATTTCCATTCGAAGTCATTCATGAAAATCAACTGAGATACGGTTTTGATAAAAAACAACTGAATATACTACTGATGTATCCACGTTAACCTATAGATTTCTTACCGGAAGGAATGTAATGATTTAAACACTATACAGTTTTTTCTGCCTGTTTTTAATTATTCTGATCTTAATTCGTTTTTTGTGTTTGACAGTGTGGTTTCGCTTTTGAAAGTTCGATGGAATGACACAAAGGCCAACATAAAGAATGTACACTAATCCCATTTATTCCCTAACACAACTCCCAACGATCATAAAGACAATAAGAACTTGAAAATTTTATAACCATTTCAACTGATGATGACCAATTGTAAGATGGGTGAATATTCGAAGCAAAAACATAGTGTCAGGAATATTATTGGATAGCTATGTTTAGGCCTAAAATGGACGTTTGTCCGGTACAATGATTTTCAGTGTTTATATGACTAATATCAGCTTGTAATACATAATAATTACTTTTACATTGACTGAAGAAATTGTAATATTTGTATGTAACCCTGATTTCTTTATACATTTATTCCGTGCCTATTATGAAGTTCATGTGCAATACCTTCTACGAGTTTTCTGAAACTTGGTTTTTTTATTTAAGGATAGTGTTATTGTAAAGTGATTCATTGAGCCAAATACATCTCTTTCATCTGGCAAATTGTTTTGTCGAAAATTTAACATTTATCCCAACTAATTAATAAACCATATTATTATACTGCCAATATAATTGCAAAATAGAGGGTGTTATTCCCGTGACCCAGATATTACAATATTGTGTGTAATAAATCCATATTATTATAAAATAGAGTGACGTTTTTATAACAAATAAATTATCACATTGTTATTATATTTTTTTGGTAACCCACTCAAATGTTTTAATTTATCATGCAGATATTTAGAAGTTTAGTCATGTACTTTCATTTAATTCAATAACTGAATATATGGGTGGGATGTACATATTATCTTATAACCAATGTTTTCATTTGATGATTTAGGAGACCATTTATAAGGTTAATTCATAATGATTTTGTGTATATTTTATCCGTCAATGTACATGCTATTCTTACACTGTTTGTTATTAAATGAATTATTTCATTTCTTCATGATATAATCTCCGATTGCTGTTTGATATTACTAGTTTGACAATTATTTTACACTAA